TCTCTCAGACCCCCACTATCCCATAGTCCTCTGCTTTTCCTTCCCTCCTTTAAAGGGACTGACTTGCCCTGCCGTAAACTGTCAGGGACCTCTGCAGGGACCCTGTTGCCTTTGACAGTACCAAGATTCTTCAAGCCCTAGTGCTGGCTCCTGCCCTTTGAATAGCAGTGCAGCTCCCACCACTGCTTGACCAATACTAGTGCTCCCTGGTATAAGGTTCCAACAGCAGCACAGCTTTTCACTATTCTTTGAATGGCACTGGGCACACCAGGACTGCTCAGAGGGTGATACAAGGGTGACTGCCAGGGGTGGTGGGGGTGAACAGAGCAGCATTGGGCCCCTCAGGGCATGGACAGCAACCAGTTCTACCCCCTGCCCTGCAAGAATCCCCAGAACAGACTGCTCTTCTCACAGGAGATAAGGCAGCTCTTTACCACTGCCATAGCCCCTAAGGAACAACTGGTTCATCCGCAGGGAGGGGGAGGGGGCGGCAAAAAGCATGCCCCATGCCCTCTGACCTTTGTGGGTAGCTGTTGGCACAGTAGGAAGGCAGGGGCAGCCCCACCTCCCAGGCAGTGGGAGGCTGCCTCTGCCCTGAAGCTACCTCTAGCCGATGCCCACGTTACAGATTTTGAGCTTGAAACTGAACTTATAATTGTTACAGCCTGACCTGACTATCAAGACCTGTATTCTTATTCTTATTATTGCTGCTATGTTATTATTAATTATACCAGTAGCAAAAAAAACAAACATTTGGTTCCATACAAAGGTGAGTAAAGCTTTAAAACCCAAAGAAGGATCAGAGGAAAACAGATGTACAGTCTGCCTGCCATGGGGCAGGGGGAGCAAAGGAGCAGCCCCCTATTGCTCCTTGGTGAGTAACTTAATTGTTCTCCAGCCAGGGGGCTAGAATGCCTGTATATCCCCCATTCTCGCTACATTTATTAGCTCTACAAATTTCCCTAAAATTTACAGTGCTGGAATTGAACACCTGTCCATAGCCTGTGATATAAATACTTTCGTTATTATAAAATGCGAAATAATAAAAGTACACTGGGTTCCCTGAAAGAAACAGTACAAAGGTATGTAAAGCTATAAAAACCTAGAAAAGAATCAGAGGAAAACAGATCTTCTCAATAAAGTTTATAGGCTAAAAAAGGCCACTGTCACATATTTCAAGCTCAAAATGGAACCTATTATTAATGTGTCATAGTCTGACTTCACATTAAGAAGACCTGTATTATTCTTATTAATAGTGGTAACAATAATAACACCACCAAGATCAGACTATCAGAACAAAACCGAATAAAACCATTAAAAAATTAGGCAGACAAGGTTCCTTGGGTGAATTTGATATCTTTTATTAGACCAACCCAAATGGTTGGAGAATAGTTATTAAGCAAGCTTTCGGGTTCAAAAACCCTTCGTCAGGCTAAGGAGGTTTCAGCAGTTGGTGTGTGCTCTTCCTGGATGGAATGAAAAGTAAAGAAGCCAGGGGCTGGGCTGGGCTGGGCTGGGGAGTCAGTTGCCAGGCAGATTGTAGTGTATCAAAAATCCAATGTCTATGTTAGTCCATGATCTCTAGTATCCAGGAGATTGATGAAATGGAGCTCATCGGCTCGTCTCTGGGAAGGGTTGTGTAAGTTTCCCTTAAAGATCAGGACTGAGAGACTGGAGAGAGAGTGGCCCTCCTGTGAGAAATGTGCCCCCACCAGTAACTGGGTATTTCTGTCTTTGATAGATTTCCGGTGTGCGTTCATTCTGGTGCGCAGTTGTTGTTTGGTCTCTCCTACATATCTTCCATCAGGGCATTTGGTGCATTGGATGAGGTATATCACATTTCTGGAGGTGCAGCTGTAAGATCCTGGGATGCTGATGGCTCTGTTGTGGGGTGTAGTAATAGTGGGGGTGGTGGAAATGTGTGGGCAGGTTTTGCATTTCTTGTCCTGGCACGGTCTGGATCTTTTTGGTGTGTTCTGCGCTTGAGGAAGTTTGCTTCTGGTGATGATCTCTCAGTCACTTCCCAGAGACGAGCCTATGAGCTCCATTTCATCAACCTCCTGGATACTAGAGATCATGGACTAAACATAGACATTGGATTTTTGATACATTACAATCTGCCTGGCAACTGACTGCCCAGCCCAGCCCCTGGCTTTTTTACTTTTCGTTCCATCCAGGAAGAGCACACACTAACTGCTGAAACCTCCTTAGCCTGACGAAAGGTTTTTGAACCCGAAAGCTTGCTTAATAACTATTCGGGTTGGTCTAATAAAATATATCAAATTCACCCAAGGAACCTTGTCTGCCTATGTCCTTAGACCAACATGGCTACAACCTAAACCCTTAAAAAATTAGGGACATTTTTCCCTGGACGCACTGCAACGTAAACTCATTGAACTGAATTATTTAACTGCTGGACTTACCTTTGTTAACTACACAGTCACTTGCAATCCCTTCATGAGAGCATACTATCCCCTCTCTTACCATAAACGTAGGCTCTCCATGGCATGGCTGTTTAAAAGCTGACAATCATATTCAAATCAGTTTTATAGTCCGGACTTCTTTGGCAACAGACTTTCATCATCTACCCTTGCATTTTAAGCATTTTCTAATCACCAGCTCAAAATGAGGTTTAGTTATTGGGATGTGACATTGATTGCACTAAATGAATATGTCAGCAACCTATTTTACTGGGCTGCTTCATGGATAGTAATTTTTTTATTTACCATCAAAGGAGGAAAATCTATAAACAGAATTCATTCTTGAATATTTTATCCTTAATTCTGGAGTCTTGCACTTATTATATGGTCAGCATTTAACCTGTTCCATTACATTTCAAGGTTTTTATCATACAAATTCATAAAATATCAGCAGCTAGCTGATTTAACTGACTGAAGAATGTTTTATAGAACAGGAGATCCTAATTAAGAATCTACTTTACAAATCATGAAAGCCTGTGGATGAACAAAGCATGGAGGTGAAGCTCTAGCTTGGTTTCTGGTGGGCATGATGAAGTAGATGTATTAATTCATACATCTCTGCCCTCTTCTGGACATAATGTTTGTTAACCACATAAACTCAAAAATAAGACAAGGGACAGTGTATAATGAAAGGTATTTAGCCTTCTGCTGGGCAGACAACTTAGCTCATGCGTTTTTTAAGTAGTTCCTTTTTACTCATGGAAGTGGTGAGTGTCATCCCTCATTCAGCAAGCAAAAAGTTTACTTTTTCAGAGCCACACAATGGTTTTTCAGAACCACACATTCAGGAATCAAGTGGAGTGCCCCAGGAGTCAGTCCTGGGGCTGGTTTTGTTCAATGTCTTCATTAACGATCTGGAAGATGGGATGGAGTGCACCCTCAGCAAGTTCACAGATGACACGGAGCTAGGGGGTGTAGTAGATATGCTGTCAGGTAGGGCTAGGATTCAGAGTGACCTAGACAAATTGGAGGATTGGGCCAAAAGAAATCTCATGAGGTTCAACAAGGAAAAATGCAAAGTCTTGCACTTAGGATGGAAAAAACCCTAGGCAACGCTAAAGGCTTGGGGCCAAATGGCTAAGCAGCAGCTCTGCAGGAAAAAAAAATGGGGGTTACAGTGGACAATAAGCTGGATACGAGTCAGCAGTGTGCCCTTGTTGCAAAGAAGGTTAACAGCATACTGGGCTGCATTAGTAGGAGTGTTGCCAGCAGAATAAGGGAAGTAATTATTCCCCTCTATTCCGCATTGGTGAAGTCACATCTGGAGTAGTGTCCAGTTTTGGGGCCTCTATTACCGAAAGGATGTAGACAGATTGGAGAGAGTCCAGTGGAGGGCAAAGAAAATGGTTAGGGGCCTGGGGCACATGACTTCTGAGGAGAGGCTGAGAGAACTGGGCTTATTTAGTTTGCAGAAGAGAAGACTGAGGGGGGATTTGACAGCAGCTTTTAACTACCTGAAGGGGGGTTCCAAATGAGATGGAGCTGGACTGTTTTCACTGGTGGCAGATGGCAGAACAAGGAGCAATGGTCTCAAGTTGCAGCAAGGGAAGATTAGGTTGGATATTAGGAAAAACTTTTTCACTAGGAGGGTGGTGAAGCACTGGAACAGGCTACCTAGAGAGGTGGTGGAATCTCCATCCTTGGAGGTTTTTAAGGCCCAGCTCAACAAAGCCCTGGCTGGAATGATCTAGTTGGGGATGGTCCTGCTTTGAGCAGGTGTTTGAACTAGTGATCTCCTGAGGTGTCTTCCAACCCTAATTTTCCATGCTTCTGTGATTCTATGAATCATATAATGATTCTTGTAAGAATAGCATCCCTAAATTCAACTGGCTACAGTCTCTTACATCAGAGGCATAACTAGCATTTTCAGCACCTTGAGCAGAGAAGCTGTCAAGTGGGCAGAGCAAATTCAAGCACATCCTGCACCCTGGAGGCTGCACACTGATACAGGACTATATCCATTTTTATGCTGTTCACATCATCAACCTATATAACCATCTAGAATCAAATGACCAAATATCCATGAGAAATAACAAGACACTAAAAAGGTATGGGGGAAAACTATTTCAAAGCCCAGAAAGTATTTATTAATACTATGATAGCAAAACCCACAGAACTAGAAGGATAAAAGCAGATCATTACCATTGAGCTATCAGGTTTTCATGTTGAATCCCTTCCTCTACTGTTTTTTATATTTTTCTTAGATTGTAAGTAGAAACTATCAAAAAGTAAAGGGAGGGAATATAGAAAAGAAGGGGAAATTTCAGGAATTTGCATATATATTTTTCAATCTTCTTAATTTTTTTAATGTCATCATTACACTGACATTTGAAAATATCCAAATAGTTAAACCTGTGAACAAACAGAACAATTAGAATTGTGAGATTCTTCTGGGAGCCCCTTGTCTTTTTATGTGCCTTATATGTCTAAAAACATTATTTAGTCACTGAGTAGGTACAATAATAATAAATTGTTACCAAACGTATTTAATGTAAGTTTTGTCTTTGTTTTCATACTGACCTAAGGTCCAGTCAGACATAGCTTCCAGATGTGGAGAACTACTGTAGAAGGCATGCATATACATAAGATGAATCATCAGCTCTGCCAGCCACCACCAAAAGAAAATGCGAACCATGCCCAGGATTAAAATGCGAAAATTAGTCTTCAGACAGCAGGCTTCTTGTCTCCTCATCTAAAAGAAGTAATCAAAAGCAGTTACAGTTTTCACAAATGGCCAGAGGTTTTGTTCAAAGAGATTTTTTGGTGCCATTTTCTTAATTTATTCTTACTTCTTGCTGTCATCAAGGGAAGTATGTCAGTGTGGCACTGGGGATTTCTCTGCAGACCCTATTATTAAAGTGATTGTTATTAATCTATTTTTTGGAGACAGAAGTGGAAAAATGTAAGTAGTAAGTGAAAGACGTTTACAATCACTCCCACAGGGCTGTATGCAGCATTTATAGGAATTCAGTTCCATTTTTGTCTGTTGAAGAACTTCACACATGCTTTCAAATGGAAAAAAGGAGCATTTCCCCTCTAGACTTTGTCTGCATTACAGAATTGTATCACTACAACTGGAATATGAGGGATTGCAATTGTGCATGCTGCAGTGGCACCATTTCCACTTAACATGTGTAAGGCAGGGGTCAGCCTCTGGATCTGGCCCACAGAACTGTGGTCTCACCAGTGGGAGGCTCTCCCTGTGCTACAGTCAGCTCCCAGGGGGTCCAGCTGAAAGGGAGCTCTATCTGTGCCACATGGCAGTTGGGAGGCACAGGCTCTGACAGAGGCAAGCTTTCACCAAGACACACTGCGCGTGAGCAGAAGGGGGAAGCAGTGGTTGCAGTTGGGTCCTAACAACTGCCTGCCAACCTAAGCTGGGTCATTACCAGGGATCTGGTTTTTCTGTTTGCTGTGAAAAACAGATAAAAACGCATATTTTCTCCTTTAACAGAGAAAAACATGGATTTAAAAGAGAAAAATACAGGAAACAGTGGGTTTCCCTTTGGAGGTTGGCCAAGTTCCATCCTGCAAGGGGCTGCAGGGAGCAGGAGGAGGACAATCGGAGGCAGGGGGCACCACATGCGTGTGTGCACTCACGTACACGTGGCAGCCAGGCAACACTGGGGAGCAGCTCCTGCAGCTCCCTCCAGGTGGGCACATGCTCCCTGAGATTTCTACACCCACAGTGGGGAATGGGACTGCAGCTGGGCCAGACCAGCTCCAAGCAGGAGCTGCCTCTGTGGCCACGGACACCCGGCAGCAGCAGGGGCACAACTCTGCACCACCACCAACTGCTGCTTCTGTACCTCACCATGCCAGCATGACGCTTCTTCCAGCTCCAGGTCCTGGAGGTGGCTCCTGCCCAGACCAGCCTGGCTGCAGCCCCACACAGCCTCTGTGGGCACAAATATTGAGGAGCATGTGCCTCTCCCACTGCATCACCTGTCCACCCCCACCCACCTTCCCTACATACCCACAGGAATGAGGGGCACTAGCACAGCTGGGGGGGCTGTATGTCAGAATTGAGGGCTCTGGCAGGGCCGGGGTGCTGTTGATTGGGAGTGAAGGGCACCAGCAGGGCTGGGGGCCTAGGAGTCAGGAGTGAGGGGCACCAGCAGGGCCGGGGAGCTGTGGGCTTGAAGTGAGGGGAACCAGGAGGCTGGGGGGTGCTGGGGCTTGTGAGTGAGGGGCAACAGGATGGGCAGGGGCAAGGCACCAGCAATTGAACCTGCATCCTGGTAAGTGAAAGAGTCAGGGTGAGCTCTGATTTTGCATGGTAAAAAACACAAAATCAAATATCACAATGTATAGGTATTTAGACTTTATTTTATTATAGTGATTGTGGCACTGGTAAGCTCCAAATTGCTTTAAAAATGTAAATATATCAATAAAACACTGTGTTCAACTGATACCTATATGTATAGTGGTGTTTCATTTTAATCATGGAAAAACACAGATTTGGGGTGGGGGTTAATCAGAGAATTTATGGGGTTTAAAAAAAAAAAATCTACGATTTATAAACAGAAGAAACCAGGTTCCCTGGTCATTACGCCCCCTCCTGCTCTCCTCCATAAAATATTGCCGACACATAGGGTAATGCACTGAACTAGCTTTTTGATTGCCCAGGGAACATTCTTTGCAAATACTGCAGGATATATTGGTTGACATCTATCGCATAATGCTATGTACTGCTCCGTGAAGCAGATATACAATGCTTGTGGATGTTCATGTATTTGATTTGTTTTAATGGAAGCTTCAAGCGTAAGTGCATGCATGTATAAGCAATGAGCACAGGTTGTATTTCACCCTTCATCCTCACCTTTCCAATTTACATGCCATATCAGAGAGCTGTCAATCCTCCTCCAGACCTGATGCCAGATAAATTCTGAGCCTGGAGGCCTTAAGGTCTTATCATTTTGAACAGCGTCACAATTGAAGTTGCTCAAAGATGGACCAATTCTTCCCCTATCAGAGGAATGCAGGTTCCATTTATTAAGACTTGCCTCTGGCTCTATGAATTGGACCCTAAGCACTTTACCCAGCAAAAAGTGTCTACTAAGAAATAAATAAAAGGAAACTCTCCCAGGTTTCTACTTTTCTCAGCCTGTATCCACCACTGTTGTCCCTCATTCTGATGTCTGTTCACAAACTGCAACACAAGAAAGTAAAAACTGCCATACTGGATTACCAGCAAAAGACATAACCAACCATATAACCTAACTTGAGGAAATTCCTTTAATACAAAATACATGGTCCGTCTAGTGCAAGATCCCCTTCTCTGATAGTGACCAGCACTAGAGGCTTTAAAAGAAGATGCAGGAAACCTATAATAGGTGAATTAATCTGCCCATTAATCTAGAAAACTGACTCACAAAATATACAGCTCTCTTATGAATTTTTAACAATACAATTTCATCATCTTATACATTTTCTTCCCACTAACAAAAGTAAGTAAAATTCACTCCATGAGATAAACAGAAATTCAACATCCTAAAAAAATAGCTACCGGTAATTCCCTTATCATCTCTTGGATTAATTAATTCCAAAGAAAACACCTTGCCTTCAGACTCTGAAAACCCCCCTAGAATTACAACACTGATTGGATACAGCTATTATAATTAAAAAAGAGAGAGAGAAAGGAAATTTACTTTTTAATTTCTTTCCATTAAACTTTAGAGAGAGATTCTCAGCAGATATGTAATATTTTGTTGACTTAATTAAAAGGCATTGTTTCTTTGAAGTATTTACTTAAACAGCCTTTACAGCAGAAGAGAAAACCAACCAGATAGTCTAACTTGAAAAAAATGCTTTAATACAAAATCTAGGGAGCAGAAAGCTTTAAAACATGTTTTTTTCAATTTGCGAGGCAGCTACTAATACAAATATTCATCTGCCTTTCAAAGTAATATTGACACCCTCAGAGAAAGCCAGATCTGAACTGAATGTCTATTGATTTCAAAGGATTTTGGGAACAGGTCATAGATCTTATTAAGCTGTACAAGTTTAGCCCACTGTCCTTGCAAATGCCTTAAAACAAGGGCTGGCAACCTTTGCCATGTCAGGCCACTGTTTGCAACCCAGCCCTCACCATGGGCCACACCTTGCATTCTCTGGCAACCAACAGATGTTGTCAGGGGAAAATAGCTAGGACCCTAGAGATTACTCCCCTGACACAGCAGAGAGAATATACTGAACAGGGCAAGCAATAGGACCCTGGGGATGCCACCTCTACTGCTGTAGCTGGCCCATGGTTCTCAATTTGTTGAGCTGCTGTGGGCTGGATCCAGTGTATTCATGAGCTGAATCTGGCCCATGAGCCATAGGTTGCCTTAAAAGTGGTACATAACATTGTCAAAAAGCACATACCAAAAGAAGGTGTAAAACAACCAGGTGATTCATTCAGACATATTTTGTGCATACAGGTAACCCCCGCTTAGCACTCTTAATTGGTTCCTGAAAAACCAAGCATTAAGTGAAACGAGTGTTAAGAGAAACTGAAAGTTTTTGATGACCCAAGATGGCAACTACAAGTGTTTTTATTGACCCAAGATACCAACCATGGGTGTTACAATGAAACTCACTGAGCGCTAAGTGGAATCAGGTATCAATTTAAAATGAGCGTTATAGCAAAACAGCGCTAAGCAAAACAGCATTAACCAGGGGTTGCCTGTATATTAAATATGCTGTGCGTTAATGTGTATACTCATACACATTATTCAGAAAGTACTTCTAATTCTGGAGGTGCCATTTAAATGCGAATTGTCTTTCACCAGTGAACCAAAGGTGTTGCTCTTGGATGCTGATGCAATTTCTTTGAACTCTGAATCCTATCTCTGATTCCTGGTAATGCAACTTGCATACGAGAAAAGTTCACCATTCCCCATATACCTGGGCTTACCCATGCATATGCTCGTACACATGCTCAACACCACCATGGAGAGGCCTACACAAAAATAAGCTATTTCGGTTTGCTGTGGAAGAAGGAACTGGCTACTGGCTAGGAGTGATCAAGGGGACTACGAAGTAGGCAAGCACAAACCATAAGGTCTAAGACAGCCTTACCAGCAAGATTCCATTTCCATGACTTTATGTAAAACAGTACTGCAAGACAAATTGTGCACTGTACTAAAAATCTGAGCTTTGAGAAATAAACCGTGGGAATGCTATAGATGTCATTAACCAGACTCAAAGCTGACAAAAATAAACTACTGCAGAAAGAGACAAACTATCAGTTACTCTAAGGTCCTATAATTCTAAAAAAGTCCAGGGATGAGATAATTAATTCCAATATTCTCATTCTCTATCAATAGAAAGAAAAAGCCAAATAAAATTTCAACACAGAAAAAGAATGGGATTTTCCATGTCCCAGCCCTGGTGAAATATTTGTAGAAGACAAGATATGGGGAAAGAAAAAAGGATCCTGCCAGATGTTGAAAAATCTCCTGTTTGTACATAATAGACTGGATTAATTGCTCAAGAACAGCTGATTGCTGTGCATGCTTCTTCCTATATTAGAGTCAAGGTCAAGGAGACCAGTGGAAATCTGCTGAGCAAATGGTGATCATGCAAGTTAAAATTGCATGGGAGAAGATTTAAATTTTGCAGTCTGCAAGTTTCCCATGATGCCACCAAATTCTATGACATTAACTCTATTATACACTTTCATATACTTTCACATTACCTCCTCCT